CGTGTAAAGGGTGTAAAGCATACAGATTACATGAATTCGCACGTGCGCTTTACAGAGCGCCAACCTCGCGGTTTAGCTGGTGCATGCTACACACCAAAATATCGTATAACGATTTCAATGATTCTATCCAGGGCCGGTACAGCTTCCCTAGCATCATATATCACCACACGCCATTAATCATTTGCTGTCTCCATTGAATTTAATCAAAGTAGTAGATGCATTAGTTTTATCACCTACGTAGGCAGGGCCTAATTTAGACCTTCGTGGGCCCTAGGCAAAATAATATTTACGGGCCCCTTTACAAATTTTGTATTACTACAAATATAAATAAAATTGTAATATTTAAAATTAAACTATTTTTATTTTTACATTTAAATATCTTACTTACATTGTATTTTTGGGACTACAATAAAATTATACAGCAATAAACATTATATTTTTCTCATCAAACACTGCTTTATTCTGAACGTCACGGAACACATCTAATTGGCATATACAAACATTATCTAATCATCAGTGATGTTGTTAGATATTGGAGCAGTAGGTAATGTCATTCTCAATTAATAAAGTATACCGTATCTCGAGAAGTGTCCAGGCGCTATATGGAGTCACGCAGCGTGCTCCGCTAAGCCTATCACGTGTTTAAAAGTCAGTCCGGCACGGTGATTAAACAAGCTAACGATATTTATTGGCAGGGGCGGCCTTATCCATTGCGAGGCTCTGGGCGGCAGATCTTTGCGAGGCCCTTGTCCTTTGTGCAAAGTATGTGAATTGAAATAGTAGGCACTTATTAACTTAATATTAATATATACTGTACTATAAATTAAATTTATTTTATTGTTATAACTAATAGCCAAGGATAAAATAAAAAGTTTTAAATATCAACTTTTTTCTACTTGGTTGTTGCGCGAGGCCCCTCCAAGAGCGAGGCCCCGGGCGATTGCCCTGCTCGCCACCCCCTAAGGCCGCCACTGTTTATTGGTATAGAATAAAGAATAGTCCGACACGAGACCTTTTGCCAGATATTCATGACCAAATGTGAAAAACCAACGACAACAGTTCCGCCATCTTACTTGCGGACGTCGTGCTTGAAAGCACGGCGAACAAGTGTCTGTAACAAATAAATGGATTAACTTCTACCGACCAAAAAAGTATTTACCTCGAACCAGTCCTACTGCTTAATTTCCATGACCCGCGTCGGTCAAGGCTCCTATCGCTTGCCTTGACCGACGCTCCACATGTAGTCTTGCGCTTTAGTGCTGACTATCGCTCACGGTCAGTTTTAGGGAACTTGGGACCCGCCCCTCACCTTCTCACACTATATCATCAAGTACTCTACGAACAGTCACGTGGGCTACTCCGACATAGTCGCGTGGAGTAAATAGTTAAATGCGATAGTCTTATTGGAGCGCGCGGTGCGCATCTCGATTGCGTGCGGCTGATTTCGGGGGCTATATAGTGAAACCTCGCTTAACGAGCATAATTCGTTCCAGAATGTTACTCGTAAAGCGAAACACTTTTTGTCATATAAATCAATGTAAAATACGATAATGCGTTCCATGCCGAAAAAATACTCAAATATTTTATGTATAACGTTTATTCAGAGAAAATTATACAATATTCATTGTTTAAGTGCATGAATCATCATCTTTTCTTCTATCGCAAGATGAACCAACCTGGAATGAGAATTCGATTTGCAGAAAAAACAATAAATCGAAATACAATAATTTCTAATATTTAATTATAGCCTTTACATAGCCCAACAATTTGGCATATCGGTTTGGCATGTTTATTATATAACGGGCTATGGTTGTTGATGTTTATACATAATATATGTGAACACAAGTTTGAAAAAATGTTTGATCATAAGTGACACCAAGATGCTAGCAGAACGAGTGCTAAACACAAACTGATGTAGCATGCGAACAATCCCCACTTCCGTTTTCTTAGTCACTCGTTATGCAAAACGTCGCTCGTTAAGCGAGTCACTTTTAGAATTTGCTTTTCTCGTTACGTGAATTACTCATTATGAGAGTGGAACCTCGTTAAGCGAAGTTCCACTGTATCGCGAAGGGTCACATGTAGACGTGCGGTTCCTTTCATTTTTTTGCTCCTATGTATAGGCTCTACGGCTCTGTTAAGTTCTCAACAGTGTCATTCACATCTGCAATTGTACCCAGTTAGAACGTTCGGTTTGGTGTCATTTATCCATTCTGCACTTTGGCACCAATTTGCTTTTCTTCACGTATCTCCAAGAAACCTAAATAATCTAACATCCTAAGATTTACTTTTACCATTTGGTGCCACGCAATAACCCATTCTTTCACTTTTTGAACACTTGAATATAGCTGACCCACAGGAACTCGTATGATGTATACTCTATCGATAAGCCCCCAAATGACCGCTGTCACCAGGGGCGGATCTACATATGGGCTATATAATAGGGCTTAAGCCCTGGGCCTGCAAGTGTCAGGGGGCCACAAAAATTCAATTAATATCATAAAGTTTAAATGTTTTTTCATTAACAATGAATACTTATCGTATAGTAAAAATTAGTTAATATTATTAATATTATAATAATGACAATTTATAGTATTATTTGTATTAACAAAAAATGGGGTCCCATTGGACTTCAATAAGCCCTAGGTCCCGAAAAATCTAGATCCGCCCCTGGCGGCCACAAAGGGTCACGGGATCGTGCCCAGACCTATTTATATAGACCTTGCTTTCCAGTAGCAACTGGTGGCGTCACTTAATGGCGTTGTTTTTAAACGCCCATACGGTCGCTTTTCTTTATGCAGCGCTGCTCGATCTTTACACAACAAAGCATTTCTAAACGAAGCGCTATTGTGTAGCCAACTGTTTTTAAACGTTTACTGCAAGGGGTGGCTGTGGCAAGGATAAAACAGCTTTTATGTCCGCTTCACGTGTAAAGCAAAATGGAAGTTTGTATGTGTAATGCGTTATTATGCTGTGAAAATAAAAATGTCGAAGCGACTGTCGATAAAAATATTATGGAAAGATTAAATTTTCTAAAATGAATCTGAAAGTCATCTAAAGAATAGGAAAATACTACAAATTAAACATAATTATGTATTTTCTGTCTCCACTTTTTCACGTTTTCGTGAAGAGAGATACTCAATTCTCAAATTTCTTTCTCTATTACAGTAGACCCCCCTATAACGTGGGTTCCTATAATGGAGATTCCTATAACGTGGCGAAAAAATTGCGACAGTATTCGTATAAGGACGCTAAAAGGGACTCGTAAAACGTCATCGCCGACTCGTGTCGCGACACGATTGGTCGAATCTGGACCAACAGTGGACGAGCAGCCGAACTTCTCTCCGCCGTCCAGCGCCACGCTACGGAGAGTTTAGGCGGGTAAATTCAGTTTACTATCGTCTGTACAGTATTATATATAAATTATATATAAATTAGGTACTGTACATATAATTATACATTAACTTAATTTAACGTAANGTTGAGTCGAATTAGTCTAGAATTGATTAATTTTATGGAAGAAAACCTTTCAAACAGCCGTAGTCCGTAAACTTCACACGTGTCGGGCTGTGATTGGCTCATGTATTTAAGGATTCCTACAACGTAAAATTCTTATAACGTGGAACGTATCTACGCGTTATAGGGGGGTCTACTGTATACTGTAGGTCATTAACTAAAACAGTACTTTCGGTTGTAACTGGAATTAAAGAATAAATTCAGCTCGAGCGAAAAGTTTTTCTAAACTGTAATGCAGTGAGGCGTAGCGATAGCTGTTCGTACCGTCATTTTCGCTATACACTCGCTACACAAAAAAACCGATCCTGCTACAAATCCGTGACTATTGTCAATGCGTTGCTGCGAATAATATTCTGTGGAGTACATAATTTTTCGAAATGACAAAAATTCCGAGGAAATAATTGTCGATTCTGTAACCGATTCACTAAATTTCAGAAGAGATCGAGAGTCACGGTAACGACTCCGCTCCAAGTAAAAAGTCACCGATCGGCTTTTTATGTACAAGAATCAATTTCCGATTTTCGGGGATTGATTTTTCCGCCCCCAAACGCTCATGTAATTACGAATACTCTTAGCTAGTGGACAAAACTTTACATTCTTTTTATAAAGGGGTTGTAGAATATAAGCAATCGAAAAGTGCAAAAATGGCAGAAGTGCAGCAAGTTATTTTCGGCTTTTTTCACGCGGCACTGCAGACGTTGCTAGAGAAAAATCTACTGGATCTACAGAACTCAAATTTTAAGCCTCTCCTTTCATCGCTGAAGTGTTGGCCAAACTCCGGATCGATAAGTTAAAGTTTACAGGGGGTTCCCTATAGACCTATTTTACTTTATGGCTTAATTTTATGCTCGTAAGGATAAATTGGATCGAAACGATTGATTTTTATTTAAAATGTCATCCAGAAAAACAAAAGTTCAAATTTATGCCAATTGAAACTTCTTATAACGATTTTACTAAATGGCGTATCGAAAGCCTCAGCTTAATGGTCATCTTCTTAGTGTTTTGGAAAACACTCTGAATATTTTGATTATCTCGACGTTTAGAGACCCTTTGAAATCAAAAAGTGTTTTGTATTGGTGTCTATTTCGTTTAATATCTGGGTATAGTGTAATTAAAGGGTTAATTAAAGAGCGAAATTTGGCACGATAACTTGAACATAAAGCTCATCGAGTTTGGTATAGGGAACAGAAGGGGGTAGGGAGATACAGGAGATCTCGTGTCATATCTCGATCGAGTGGGGTCGGACTTAATGAACATTTTATTCGTTATTGGCATTTGCAATATTTCCAAAAACTCGTCTCCGCCTTAAGAATTAAACAAAAAAGACGAAAATGGCGTTTTACTAATAAATAATAGCATACAAGTTATTTTTAATAACATCTCATAAGAGATGGCGCCAGATACAATTTTAACTTTCGGCTAGTGTCTCCGTGTTTTTTACACTTAAATATTTTTTAAACAGAGGTTTTTTTATCATAATTGAACGAAATTATTTTTTTCAACATTTTGTCATTACTTAAATTTTATAACCTACTATTTTGTAACCTACTATTATGGGTCTTCTTGATGGTTCCTTTAACCTGTTCCAATGCCAAGAAAGTTGAGCCAGAGTCCTTGCCAGATTTTCTTCCTTTTACATTTAGGAAATCTGTACAAAGTACATCTCTGGATCATTTTCTTCTATAATAATAAAGGTACAGTACACTTATATATACTAACTATTATATATAATTATACCTGTATATAATTTACACACAGCGTAATGTGTAGTTTAGTTTCAATTCTTGTATTTGTTTTGAAACACCACCAGACGGCATATCTTTATAGTGGAAATTGTCCGTATCGATATAGATACCGAAATTTCGGCTAGTACAACTAAATAAATTCCATATCGCTGGCCTTAGTTTCGCTTATAATAAATTTTATCGATTTAAGTTCGGAATATTCGTATTTTAACAAAAGAAGGAAAATGGATGCTTTGGCATCGCGCAGTTCGGAATAAAACGATATTCGTTGCCACGATCGAATCCCAATGGAAATTTTTTTGTCGTATTATTCTATTTATACCTTGACCGGAAACGTTAATTCGTATCTCGGGAAAGAACTTGGTTGAAATCCGACCCAAATCGAAATCAGTGAAGATGTAAATTTTTGATTTGAATAAAGAAGATAAAAATGCTGACGAAGAAACTTGCTGCCTGCAGGTGGACAAAATAATAATAATAATTAATTATCATAAAATAAAACAAATATTTCTCAAATATCGATAATTTTTAACCAACACTTTTAATAAACATAAGAATTAAAATACACTCATTTTTTATGTCAAATATAAATTCCGTTAGAACAAAAATTGATTAATCCAATTATCTAAACTCTAATTACGATGAAAACTTCATTATTCTATTTAGAGTTTGAAGTGTAAATGAAATAATATAAAATACGATCGTAATTCAGGTCGACATAAATTCGTGTTTCAAACTTTACGTGTTTATAAAGATTATTTCGATAAGATTAATCCTTCGTTAAGCGATCGAACTTTGTTTAAAGATACAGGTTGGTTCTGATATAAGCTGGAGGGAGAAAGCAGAAAGTTTCAGTTTGCGGCACGTAGAAAACGACGAAACATTATTTAATGCCGAAATAATAAAAGTTTTGCATTGTCCTGGACGTACTGTAAAATCCAGGGCAAATAATTTATTCTCGGGAGATTTTGCTGATGTACTGTACGTTAAAGAAATTTGTCGAGTCTGCCAAGAGATCGTCGCGGTAAACATTTTTAAAAAGAGTAAAATCTACAGAATCAGACGATTACGTCTGCAAATGTCACCAGAATGTGAATTGAAAATTTATTCTCTGATGTACGAAATGCCTCTGACGTACGCTATTGCCGCGCTTTACCCCGAAATATTTCAAATCTGCGCATTAAATGTACGGGGCCAGACTATTTTGCACAAATGGTGTATTCCAATTTTGTGAGACGTAGATCCAGAAAAACAATAAAAAATCGAATAAGATTTATTGACAACGATAGTAACTACATGTAAAAAATGATTGTTAGAACTATTTCTTCACAAAAACAGATGCAGAATGAAATTTTCAATTTTTTTTAACGACATCATAATAAACATTTTCTCTCGTCTGCTGCCTTTTGGAAGGAATTGTCTGTTGTAACGTATAAACTCCTTCCCCACGATGTCTCCACTTCATTTGATTGTTTAAAAATGGAATTAGCGTAACGACTTCGCTATGGTCGAAAACAATGCGAATTTATTCCAATAGAGATTCGCAAAAGCAATATTCCTAAATCTTACAATTGTCATTACGATTACCTCTTTTACGTTCGCTATTACCAGAGTTATTTGATAAGATTCTGACCACATAACTTTGAATCAAGTGTATAAGAACAATATAATACAGTATGTAGAAAAGCTAATTTTAAGTAAATGGGCAGTGCTTTCCTATATAAAGTGTCTTCATGAGGCATATCGGGAAGATAGGGCATGACGCAGATCGGGGCAATATTATACTTAAAACACATTAACGTGTTCGCCCCGGAAAAGAAATAAGTTTGTCAGAAAATTGTTTGGTCGTTATTAAAAATACTGTAATATTAAATACTAGCTGTCACCCGTAACTTCGCCCGCGCGGATTTTGCAAGAAAACCTCATTTATATTCAATATTTCAACAATCATAGTAATTGTTATATAAACCTACCGCTGAGAATGATGAGAATCAAACGAACTATCTTCAATTTGATCAATTTTCTGGAACGTTTACAATCGTTCTATAATCTAACCAATATGCAATAACAAATTCGAATTTAAAACGGTTCGAATATTTTTAAAATCGAAATATATGAAAATATTTATAACAATGTCTGAAATGTTATCAATTTAATACACCTAAGTACTTAATGAACACTAAACGTAGTTGAAAACAAAAACCGCATCTAAAATAGCACAGTAGAAGCCATTCTTCAGGTTAAGCCTTAATGCTCTCCCTCTCCCCTGCGGGGAGGAATTTCGAAAAATCCCTTCTTAGTATGCGTTTTCATGATGTACAGTACCCTAACTGTGTACCAAATTTCACCTCTTTAGGTTCAGTGGTTTGCTCTGGGCGATGATGAATAAATCAACCAGTCAGGACAAGTAATTTTATATATTTAGATTAATAATTAATGGTTAGTTGGTGATCGGCTGGTAATACTTGAGCTACTAGGCTATGCAGCTTGGGCGTTAGAGTTACTCTAACGGCTGGGCGGTTGGTGGTGTCATCTAGTCAGTGCCGTGACTAGCCATTCCTGTGCCCTGTGCAAGAATTTGCATTTAGACCCCTTAATTAATTAGGTTTGGGAAAATAATAAAACAAATACATGCATTTTGGCCCCCCTTTCCAACTGGGCTCTGTGCTGGTGCACCTGTTGAACCTGCCTAGTTACGGCACTGCATCTAGTACTATTTCTTGTCAGAATTTACTATATATAATCTTTTTTTCCCACGTTTTATGTTTCAAACAATTCTTAATTTATACGTTTTGTTTGGAATTTTTGATTTTAAGTAATAGCTGCATGATAATTTTGTTAAAGAAAAGTAAATAAAAAAATCCCTACAATTTAATCTGTTTGAGTATGTAATCTAGCTTTTATATTAAACTGTGTTATATTGGAATCTTATAAAACAGACTTTTGGGTATTTTGGGATTTGTTGAGCTGCTATTTGAAAAAATTATAGACTTATAAATTCCCACTGTCGTCCGTCCGCCTTTCCTTAATCTCGGCAAAGGAGTTAGATAGATGAAAGACGAAACGAGATGTGAAAACCTTGGGGGCAGGAGGCCCCAATTAACTACATACGAACTTCCGATGCAAACCGGAACTCTTGTTATTTCAATTCAAACCCTCTCAAAACCTGTTAGATGGATGGCCGGCAGGACTCTATCGTTAAAGGAAAAGTATAATGTATAGGAGCAAGTCACTACTATTTTGCATATATTTTAAATGAAATAAATTAAAAATATGATTAAAATGTGCTGCCCGGCCATGTTACAATAAATAATTGCTCCTTGTTTTTACAGTATTCTTAAATATTTAATATCTAGGAGTCATACTCCGTTCGCACCGAGCATTTCGATCTTGATTATGACCAAGGTCGGCGACTATGCCGTGGGGCGACTTCTCTCGACTGAAACGAGGTTCAATCGCGATCGACTCAAGAGTTGTTGAAACTAGATCCAGTCATAAGAGAGATCCCACAATTCCACGCGTGCATGAAAATACAAGATTGCTAAGGAATACATGTCCGGCTACCAACAGAGAAATAAAAAAGATATCTGTCTATTATTAGATGTATGGCAAGAAAAAGTATTTATTTCTAACCAAAACTTCCATTTTGTTTGTTGGTGTTCGTGACTTACTAGTTATGTCAGTTTTATCATCGCGTGTAATAGCCGGGTTCTTCTCAAGTGGACTGCCTGTGCGAACAACACGACATTCGACTGGCAACAGTCACAATCCAGATTGTAGGTAAATCGAGATCGAAGTGAGTCGTGGATTGTGTGCGAACGTAGTATTAGAATAAGATTGTCTAATTGTTTTTTATGTACAGTACTAAAATAATTAAAATTGTTTTTGTCGATCGATGTATGAATGACAAACATGATTAGTAAGGACTTGATGGTAATTTTTGACCAAGGCAAAACCAATTTTTGCTACCCTTGCTTCTAGAATAGTGGCCAGAGAGCACTTCTAGATCTGGCATTCTTGAATGAACTACAGTATTTATAAACTTTAATGTACACTTACAGGATTTGTATTTGGCTTCATATTTTTATTGTTTGTTTATTTTTTCTCCTTTTGAACATTTTTGATCACTCATTTTACTTCTTGAGGCATTCACCTCGTCATGTCACCTATGAGTTTACTCTGGACATAGTGGTGCACGAAAAAATAGTTCTGGTCCACAGCTTAGTGAAACTCAAAGTAATGCGGCAATAAACACAGAAAGCAACTGTTAATATCACTGTAAAAGCAATCACCTGTTGCATCTATAGACAGCTGTTCCCATTGAATCATATTTCGAAACACCCAGTGTAACATAGTGACATCAATGATGGTGATTCTGTGACTGGCGTTATTTTCGGTTCCTTTATTACGTGTGAATATGCACAATACTGAACCGCTATTAGATGGCGCCACCAACTGTCCAGCCGTTATTCTAATGCCGGGTCTATCCGGAATACGTCGGGACCGTCCCTGGCCATCCGGCCGTTTTTTCGTAGACCTGGTATATCGCGACCAGCACGACAATGGGCCTCTCAGTGCTGGCGGGCCATAGTCAAATAAATCAAAAGAAAACTATACGTTAATCCGCGTTGACTTATACAGACTGTACGGTAAAAAATAATCTAACTTATAAATTAAATCCTTTCTGTAGCATGACGTAGACAGCATAGACACTGGAAACAACCTAGTCTAAACTTTAAAAAATTAAGTACAGGTATACCTCGACTTACGTCGTTCCCGATTATACGTCGTTTGTCAAAAAAGTATATGGAAAATTAAAAATCAAGTTTAAGTCATTTTATTCGACTTTACGTCTGTCCGCCACAAATATTGAAGTCGCAATATCACTAGAAAAATGTTTAAAGCACATAAAATCATATTATATACATTTACAAGTATGTACTGTATTTACAGTACATGCATTCGTAAATTCAGAGTACTTTTTTCTGTACTATATTAAAATCTAAAATTTATTTGTTTATAAGCTTAAAATAGATCCTTACTAACCATATATTATTAAAAATGCATTAATACATAAAATACAGAACGGGAATTGATAATTTATTGTTTAGCCTAGTGACAAGTAGATTCGGAAACAAGTAAATTCGACTTACGTCGTTTTTCGACTTAAATCGTTCTCCTGGAACCAATTACCGACGTAAGGCGAGGTATACTTGTATGTGCGAATGGTGGAGAGACTAGAACGTAAATACTGCAGCGTAGATCGGCCCTTGCGCATAGTTTTAATTTTCAACCGGGTAGGAGTACTGGGAGAAACTACAGTAGTTGTGTAAAATTAATATACGCAATACTCACCAGAGAATATAAAACGCCTGCATTGTTATTGTTTAAAAATTAAAACAATATAAAAAAGTTATAAAACGTAAGTAACAGCGTAAATTTAAGGTTTATCTAACAGTCGATTGTTCCCAGAGTGAAAATGGAAGCTTCGTTTTACGAGATACAATAGTTTTATTATAAATTATTTTATGAAGATTTTATAATATGGAACAATAATAACAGAATATGGATCGATGGGGAGCGATAAAGTGGAACAGTAGATGATGGCAATAAATTAAAACAAGGAATAAATGAATGGCCACCATCGAATTAATTGATACTGATACCACGTATTATTCCGTTTTACTAACTAATCTAAATACTTTTCTTTTTATTTATTTGTTAACTAGATTTAACTGGTTTTAAACTTTTTGATTTTAAACTAAACAAGCAAGTATTTATTGTGACACAGTCACAATGCTCTGCTGCAATTTTTCGTCACAATGCTCTGCTGTAATTTTTCGTCACAATGCTCTCGACTTTAGTGTTAACAATAGAATCGTGCCGGTCATCTATCTCAGCTGTGAGAAAAATTTTGAATCGAAACCATGCGATCTTCGGTCTATTCCGGACGTTAATATACATTTAATCTGGGTCATCTGCCCCTAAAAGCTTTCCATGCTTGTCTCGACTTGAATTCATCTAACTTCGTTCTCGAGATTTAGGCCCTGTACACACTAGGCGTTTTTCAACGCGCGTTAAACGCTCGTCAAACGCCGAGCTAACGCGCGTTTAACGCGCGTTAGCTCGGCGTTTAACGAGCGTTTAGCGGAGCGTGCGCACTGGCTCGGTTTGGAAATGGATGTGGAAGTGATTGCTTGTGTGTGGCTCCTCTATCGTCGCTATAAAAGACGACGGCGGAGGCAAAGAGAATTTTGGGTGCACCTAATATTACGAGATAGACTGACGCATGAAATGTTTGCGACGTTGTATCCAAAACTAAGACAAAATAAATTCAAGTTTTTTAATTCTTTTAAAATATCTATAAAATCCTTTGACGATGGTTGGTCTCTTTTAGATATCATCAATAAATAGATCAGTATCGAAATGATCGTTTTCCATTTCAGCACATATATCTCAAAGCGCTCGGCTGACGCCCGCAAAACGCGCGATCGCATGTACGGTAACATGGCAGCACATATATCTCAAAGCGCCCGTAAAGCGCTCGCAAAACGCGCGTTTTAACAAAAATCTATAAATGCGCGTTTAACGCGCGCTTGGCTTTTGAGTGTGTACGGCTACATAGAACTCTTGCGCGTTAAATTGGCTTTTGAGTGTGTACGGCTACATAGAACGCGCGTTAAACGCCTAGTGTGTACAGGGTCTTACAGGGTGTGTACAGGGTGTGTACAGGAAGGACAGACACAGCCGAACGCCAGTGAGAATTTATAGATTTGCAATTGTAACCCAATAAACTTTAAATTTAATCTTAATTTTCTTTCGATTACATTATATATCTTTAGCTCCAACAATTCAGAATTATAAGGCACTAATAAATACGCATAAGCAATAAATCTGTTAGGCCTAATAGTAGTATTAATTATTCTGGGTTGGATTCGAATAGAAATAATATAAAAGTTGGTTAAATCATTTTTGTTTAAAATAAAAAGAATATTTAAATATTGATTTTACACTTACCCTTAAAAATGTTATTTTTGTAATCAGAATAAATCGAAATAATCGTAGGCCAAATAAACGACTGGATTTAAGCGTCAATGAATGCAACTAAGAAAAAAATAACAGAAATTATTTCAAATCGTGATATTTATATTATTTCTAATTAATAATAATTTAAATTGTTTTCTTTTAATAATAATTTAAGAATTTACGCTTCGATTGTATATGTATTTATCAAATTCTTTAAGGTTTACTTTTTAATTTATAATTTGTAACAATTTTATCATCGATACCGTAATATTTAATGTCCGATTATAAAATAATCCCAGTGAAATTCTCAGCTTTTCGTGATAAAATATAATATATAGAACATTTACTTAATGTATTATTTGTATTTATCTATGCAATTTGCATATTCATTTCTCGAGGTTCACCTTTAACAATTTGACAACGACTGTTTTGTTGTGTTAATCGAATATTTCTTTAATCAGAATTAATTACCGATTGCGGCTAATGTCAAATGCCGAGGATAACATTTGCCATAGTTCTTTGCCTAATCGTCCTTTGCATTTATCTTCCCCATAAATTAGATGCAAATTGGTTAGTTTCGGAGACATGAATGTCTTCATTATGTCCGATAGACATTCACACTTACAAGTTAGTCAACGTAATTAAGTGTGGTAAGGGTGTCACACCCTTTCCGCAAGTTGACAGTAACGTGTTGACAAAATCCAAATTAGAACGAAAGACAGGCTTTAGCATGAAGATACAATGTCTATTAAGAAATGTAAGATCTTGTCCCATCTTATAAAACACATTGCATTTAAATAAAGATATTGTCTTTCTGGATTTTGAACTTCTATTCTTTATTTATTGACCGATTGGGGAAATATGTCGGTGTACTACATAAAACTCCGTAAGGAGGAACACACAAAACAAGAAATAAAGACAAATCTAAAATGCAACTTCAAATTTTTGTCGTCACATTCGTCATTTATTCACCACGTCGAAAGATGTGGTGAATAAATGAGGATAAGAGAGGAACCACAATATCAACGACTAGAAAGATGTCGTTGATATTGTGGTTCCTCTCTTATCTGAGGTGCAAGAGGCTGGAAAAAGTGAAAACTAGATTTATGAGACATATTTTCCCTATCAGCTCATTTGGAACTAAATTTTTTCGTATAATCTTTTCTCTGTGCCTTAAGTAGTAGAGGTTTTGCTGCCTGAATAGATATATTTTAATCGTAACCACCTGGTATATACTGTATATGTATGAATGAATGTATAAACATAGATATATCTATAGATATAAATTAATAATAATACATTCAAACACGTTTTCATAATTTCCGATATTCTGTAATATTAATGTTAAGTGAAAAGTTAAAATACTACAAAGCTTACCGAAACACAATCTTCGTAAGTTTTCATTTTTACGATTGAACGCATTAGAAATTGGCTACTGATTTTTCCCTGTATAAAATGCAAAAATATTTATTATATTATACTAATACAAAACTAATTATTCTAGCTTTTATTCGTGTACTGAAAATATCAACTTACAGTAAATTAACCTTGTATAAATTATGTAAACACATTACAATTTAAATTACTCAATTAATTAATATTCTGTTACTTTTTATTATTAAAATCTTGGATTTGTGCTTATAAAGGAAAATAATACGCTTATTCGATAGGTATTTTAATAAAAAGTATAATAATTAAAAGAATGAAAGTTGCTTTGAAATGCTGTGGATCCATACATACATATCACCTACATCATACATATATAATTATTGTACCTTAGAAATGTACATTTATTTGGTAATTGTACACTTATCTTTTAAGTCATTATCTCTCAAACTTTTTCCAGAGACGACTATTTTTGTTTCTGTTTCTCTTAAAACCTACTAGTCTATAATTTACTTAGAATATATTTTATTCTAATAGAACTAACAGATTTTATTAACTTTTGTTTCTATAGTACACAATTATATTTTGAACAAAATGAAAGTAAGATAGCACACGCAGATAGTTTTGCTAAGTAAAATTAAATGTTGTCGATTGTAATAGTAATTAATGTCGATAAAACCAACACAGAAGTTGAGTGTTTTTACTGTTGTATTGTATTAAAACTAGCGGATATCGAGTAGGTCTACATAAGGGATCGTATTCCGAAAATAAAGAATTATATCGATCATTTCTTTGTCCCCTCTTGGAAAGAGTCTTCGTCCCACAGTTTGAGAACCATTGGATTAAGCCATTAAACAGTCTCAATTAGCTCTGAAATTTTTTTTCATTCATTCGTTTCATAATGTTTAAATTTAAGTTCTCTACTACATTACAAATGACGTAGGAACTTTGAACTTTTTTATTACAATGGATTATTAAGTAGAATATTTTATGAAAGAATGTTGGAATTATTCGGAAAGCCTGACGTTAGCGTATTGAGATGAAGCGTTCTAAGAATAAACTGCATTCACAACAACGATTATTAAGAGAACGTGTCTTTTGCGGTAAACTTTACACGTAAGTCTGAAAGAAATACTTTCAAAAAAATCCAGCAACGAGTCTCTTAACTTTTCCGGCAACATTTAGTGGCGCCATCTGTTATCCTATTTTATTAAAATAACTTTTTATATTAACTGTTATAAAACGGCAAAAAGCTTAATTTTGAGGATAGGGATGGCTTTTTAAAAAAATTGTAAAATCTAACAACGAGTTAAATCGTCTGATTCTATTGGAGATGCACACAACCCCCCTTTATCTACCCACCCCATCTTTAATCATTAAAATTTAATAGCATCGATACCTTGATAAACAAATCTAGAAAAATTTATGAAATTTTCCACAAAATTTATTGGAGTTATTAATTAAGCTTCAAACATGTGAACAAAATCATGCCCTCCACAAACACTAATTAGCTAATGTCCATATATATGCTACAGAAAAAACACTCGGTTTTTTAATATTTATTTTGCATTTCTCGACGTTTTACGGTTTCCCGAGTCCAAACATGTAAAAATTTTGGGGGTCATTTTTTTACCGATTTTTTTACCATACTTTCCCTCTGTTATTTGTAACAGCCAGGAAAGTAAAAATGAATAGGTCAATATTTTATTACTGACATTGCATTTATATTACAAGAAATACCCGATCAATACCTTATATCAACATCAATATCAATAATCGTGAATTAATACTTTCTAATTGATAACTTTCTTGATTGATGGCTTCGTTAATGACGGTCATCAAGCGCTGTAAGTTATTAAAAAGCCTCACTTTGCCCATCGGACGCTAGTTTTAAAGATTTTTTTTTTCTGTTAGTAAAAATAACGTTAATTTTATGAGGTAGGAATTACTACCGACTTTTAAGTTTTCTTCTGATCTGGGGAAAGACTTCCTGCTCCCCCTTATTTGCGGTCCTGAGCGTAGCTTACGTAACAACATAATTAGAGACGGGCAAATACACTAATACTAAAAAGTATTCGAAATCTCGAATATTACGTTGATAAAAAATACTGATTTAAACATTATTTGATAATTTTGACATTTATTAGTCTATAGTTGTAGGGTCTTAGTGCTGTTATTTTTGATTTTATGTATGTGATGTGTTGTGTAATAAAATTTGATACGAATATGGATTTTTAATTATGTGTATAAATTGTTTGGTTAGTTTCTGGTGTATAGATTTAAATCTTTTGTATCAGAAATTGTGAATATATGCCCGGATGTCTTCCAACTGTATATTGTTCGTACATTTTAAATTTGATGCGTGTTTATTTCAACACAGTCTAATTGGTATGTCATACGTATCGTCTTCCTCCGTAATTCGGACTACTGCTTTCTTGTGTATTATTGAATTGGCCCATAATTTGTAAGTTTTTTTCTTTTGGTGGCATTGTGCTGCGATTGCGTGGTGTTCTCTCTTTGTAATTTTCAGTAGAGAAGTTTTTCATTGTTTGTGAATAATTTATTTTGTTGTTTATAGCATTTTTTATCGATTTATTAGTTTTAAAACATTATTTTCATCGAACAGTTTGAATTCATAATAAGAATTTGCAGTTTATTTCATTGCATTTGTAAGTATAAGTCCTACGTTACGTGTAGCCTACATATTCGCGATTTGATTTTTTGGTATCAAAATTATTGTCATGTAAGTTAAAGAATTGTAACTTATATATTTGTTATATACTAATAAGCTCACGCAAATAATATTTGGCTCATAATTGTGTAACCCCTATGAATATATCCGTGTGTATTATTGCCTATTTGCATCGATGTGAATTTAGCTTATCAAGAATTAATTTTACGTACAATTCTCATACAGCGTCATAATTCGGATAAGAAAGCTTAGTGATTAAATGACTGGAGTAAACAATGTTCTGTACAAGTGGGTAAACAATATATTCCTCGTATATCGTAATGAGTCTATAATACCGATTTTAAATCCTCGTATTTTTAGATGGAGAAAAATGAATAAATTCCAACTTACTTTTGAATAGATCGATGCCACTAAATGCAGAATTCCGAATAAAATGATAAAAATAGCGGCAATAACGGGAAGTACGAGCAAAATGGCTTCGCTGTTTTGTAAATCGAAAACACTTTTGTACATCAAATAAACGACGAGTCCAAAGAAGCAAGCAATTGCTAAACTTAAGAGTTTAGCCAGAACATGATTGTTACAGACAATAATCTTTTTCATTTGAATGTATTTCTTCCAAATATCTTTTAAATTGTTGATTTCAAAACGATTTTCTTCTTCCAAATAATCCAAAATATAGCGAAGCTTGGCCGAAAGTGAAAGTAGAAGCATAACGACGCAAGTCACAACGGAAAAAAGCAATCCTAATCCATAAATAATTGAAATTGTTTGAGCCAGGGCGATTCCGTGTGCTAATAAAATACTGTAACCGTGACTTCTAGATGTATTTAATCTCCAAATTGCCATTGCTATTGCGGCAACTGCTATAATAATATAAGCAATACAAAATACGGTTATTACTAGAATATCACACGTACGTGCCAATTTGGCCACTAATTTTCTGTCCTTTTCGGCATTTATTGTAAATTTATCGAATAAAACACAATATCGTTTAAGATGACTCGGCACGTCGTCTAGCAAAAATATGATTAAAACATTCATGATGAAAAATATCCAAGTAGTAAAAATAGCGCAAAGTAATATCGTGTCGTCGCCCCAACTGCTTTTAAGGTAAACGGTGTATAAAATTTCGCATTTTCCAGGAAATAAAAAATATAAGAAAAATTCAAACTCTGCAAACGATAACCATAATAATATAATTAATGAATAATAAGTACATAAATGATTATTTTTGCTTTCTCGACTTGTATTATAGCCATTTAATCCAAAAACTTTGAATGCCGTTAGCAACGGATACGCTATATCCTCAATACTCGACAGAGAAGAATCACTCATTGTTTACACACAAATTTTAAGTACTTTAATTATAGTCGATATAGTTTTAAGTTTATTTTAAAAATAAATATTTAATGATTTTCAATTTTAAACAGTTCAAAAACATAAAATGAATTTTCTATGATAAAATATTCGGTAACTACATTACCATATTTGCAATGCCACTGGAGATTTGATATCGTGCATTTTGGACTTAGACTATAAAAATATTTCGTAACGTTAAAAGTCTTTTGATAACAGCCTTATTTCTCCTTCCAGCTTTTTGAAAAAGTTTCTCAATTAAATAACTTGTATTGCTCGTGTAAATTACATTTTATTTAACACAACCGTAGTCACAATTGTAACACAATAGTCGCCATAGTGACGATGACGTGATGTACTTCACTAAGGAAATATCCTTTATCGATTTTTCTTTTACTAACAATTATATCGACTTCCTAATATTTCTAATGAGTTTACCAAATATTTCAAAATATTTCATAATCAGAATTAGGTTTATATAAGCGTATAAAATAAAATAATCGAAATAATATTATTAAAAATTTGAAATTTTAATTATTGTCCCGAACCCCTTACTGATGCTAAATAAAACACCCGCCAAAGTGGAAAAATCTCAAATATGTCTATGACTCTCAAACTTTAACTAGCAAAAAAGTAAACTATACTCAGTATAGTCTACTTTTTAGCCCACGGCTTTTCCCATAGAGCCCTGTACTGACGAAGATAAGATCGTCATTTTTAAGAAACCTGCGTAAGCCGATATGGCTACAAAACCCACGGATCGCTTACCGTTAATAAATAATTGAGATAAACGCCAGACAGACAAAAGATGCGAGTGAAACTGGCTGGTACCCATACGTGCTGAGAGTGGCACTAAATAGAAGATGGACAATTTAGGTGTACAGTAATTACACTCCATAACACCCGTAACCATTTGACCAACTAATCTGGAAATCGCGGAATTTTAAATGTCCTGACGTGTTCTGTCCGAATTAAACTAGACATCAGAAAATCAGCGGTATGTTTATAATTAATTTTATTCTTTCATTAAAAAATCGTATTTTTAATTTTGCAGAGTCAATAAATAATTTTAGCATAAAATTATTCGGTGCATTATCAAAGTTGTAATTTGATTTCTATCCGAATGAAGTCAAATTCTTAGTTTCCTTTTGATTGATTTATGTAATAAATTTAACACTTTTATTATCATTAACAGATTATTCATTCACTCACTTATTTTTAGAATAAATAAGATAAAAATTTTATTTTTACCTGAATTTGTAGATAATAATAGAATTGATGTTTGATAAATAAACAGCGATAAAAGATATTTTTTATTTTTACATATCTATACAGTATTTATTATTAATAACATATATTTATTTGATTATTTTACCATTAATACTCCATCGAATTCGAGAAAATACATAGTAACTGGAAAGGGAACCTAAAATTCAATTTATTATAACAACACTATTTTTAGCAGTTGTCAAGAACAATACGGGACGAGACAAAAGCCAGTTACTATTATAAAGAGTAAATTTCAATTAATTAATTTAATTAATTCAGTTATATTTTCTTATCAATTTTGTAAAAAGAAAAAAAATATTTTTCTGAATGATCATACAATAGTGCCTCGAGTACGGTTAACCGACTTTTGGGCCACTCTATAAAAAGTGACTATAACGTTTTTATATCACAAATTTATATGAAGTGTTGGCCGGTATATAAATTTGCTAGTATTTTTGAAGTTAAAAATAAATATCGGAGGCATCTTTTATAAAGTTTATAAATACAGTAATGACAAAAGAGTACAGTTGTTGAGTATAATAAACATTAGCCTTATAAAGTATTTTTGTCCTTCATATCCAATTATATATTTTTTATTTCTGGTATAAAAGCAAGCGATCAATAAATTTAAAAATGTTTAAAATTTTCGGCTTAACGAATGATAACGAAAAATAGACAATGAAAATGAATTTTTACAGATGATTTCGGCTGTTACTGAAATCGTAAGCCCACAATAAAGTGCTAGAAATTTTGCTTTCGAAAGGCGATTTAGGAATATGTACTAAAGAGCGAGCCGTCGTGAAGCTCCTATTATTCTTATAAGAGTGTCAAGAATTTCACCATTTTTAATTTTGCTTTAATATTGCTTTTAACATACTTAAAAGCAATATTAGTATATAAGTATATAGCCATTAACAGCAGCGCGATTTTAGAGACGAAACATAGTCTCGTCTCTAAAATCGCGCTGCTGCTGCATAGTCTCGGCTCTAAAATCGCGTTGCTGTCAATGGCTGCACACTTTAGAGGTATGAAGAAGTACATGTCAGAAATTGCAATTTGGCACAGAGTATTTGGCGCTCAAATCATGCGCACATAAAATAAACCAGACTTGTAGGTAGTCAGGGAACCGAGAACCGGGTCAAAAAATAATACGAATTGCTGAGACTGTTTCTACAAGCAGGCGCGAGTGCGAGATTTGCGCATGCATTGCTCGCGCTCTCCGAGACACAGTCTCGTCCCAAAAATGGCTTCGCCGTTTTACTTATTTACTACCCACAATAAAGAAATTCGTTATTAAAACTGACGATGGTTAATGTTTAGGGTCGTGGACTGTCATGGCGGCTCTTCCTGTTTTAGCCTCGAAACCGGACCGCTTTGGAGACGACGTGTCACGTGACGACGCGAGCGAACAGCGGCGGCTGCTGCGCCGCGATAAACGGGGAAAACCGACGCGCGGGTTAACGTCCATATACGTAAACTCATGGCGGCTCATCTCTGATTTCGCAAAAAGAAAAGGAAACAGTGGGGACGCACGTTCTAACCTAACCTAACCTATTCTAATAATTTAATCGATAATAATTGTGGTAATTTATTAGAATAGGTTAGGTTAGGTTAGAACGTGCGTCCCCACTGTTTTCTTTTTTTTCTTGGTTAAAGTCCAGACACGTGAATTGCCATGGCGGCTCACCTCTGATTCCGGCAAAGAAAAGAAAAGGAAACAGTGGGGACGCACGTTCTAACCTAACCTAACCTATTCTGATAAATTATCATAATTATTACCAATTATATTATTAGAATAGGTTAGGTTAGGTTAGAACGTGCGTCCCAACTGTTTCCTTTCGTTTGCTAGAATCAGCGGTGAGCCGCCAGCGCTGCTGCGGCGCAGCAGCCGCAACCGTTCGCTCGCGTCGTCACGTGACACGTCGTCTCCAAAGCGGTCTGGTTTCGAGGCTAAAACAGGAAGAGCCGCCATGTCCGACCCTAAAACATTAACCCTGACGATTACAATAATTAGTTATTATTTAAAAGAAACAAATATAGCTTATCTTTACTTTTCTCTATTTATCTGCGGTTTTAGAGCACCAATGTCATCGGCGTTCGGTAAAATATCGAAGTCCTCCCATAATTTTACCTATCTTTTGCCGTAAATGAGTTATCAAATTTCCCAGATACCATATTTTTACCTTCCTCCAAAAAAATTAATCGTTAGTTCCAGCTGCCTGGCCATTAGTAGCTTCTCTGCCATATTACTAAATGACTCCACTGCAGCGTTGCCAGATGTTTTTTGCTATTGTAGCCAAATAATTTTTAAAAAGTAGCCAACTGCTCGAGCAGTTGGCTACTTTTGGGCTACTTTTGTACCAGGTGTTGCTCTACCTAGTACTTTTGTATTAATCTAGTACCTTTTTACTTATCCCAGTACCAAGATACCCAACACCATTTTCCTAGTACCATTCATGAAATCTTAATACCTTTCCTTTGAAAACATTCATTTTTATTCTATAATTCTGTATTTTTTACTTTACTTTGACAGTAAATAGATGTTTTTATTGCTTCCTCATTCAAATGCAGCAGTTGAACGCTGCATTTGAATGAGGAAGCAATCGATAATTTAGAGTGGGTTGTGCGACATTATCTAAGTTGGAAGTATTTGAACGTAACTGCCAAGTTTCGTAGCAATTGGTCGAACGGCATAGGCGTGCATAAGCGTATTTTTTTGCAATTAAATTTAATGAAAACTAAACTACAAAATCGAGTTCTTACAGCGATAAATGTTAAACTTGGAAATCATCATCTTCATCAACCATACAAAAACATTCTAGTGAAAAAGATTCTGATGATGATGATCTTACCAGTGATTTTTCAATGTGATAATTTCAAATTTTAGTACTTCATGTTCATTTTGCTCATTTGATTGTTGTTGAGGAATAATAGCATTCTTGTAATATATGAATTTTGTATGTTACATGTAACACTATATAAGACATTTACAAGAAGCTAACATTGGCAAACACTTGCAATTAGCGTAATGTTATTTGTTACTAATTTTATCGAAAACAATTAAAATTTATAAAAATTACGCCCTAGTAACCATGTTTGGTACCATTCCGTATAGCATAGCATTTACCATTAGTCATTTTTGTTTATAGATGCATTTTCTTTTCTTATTTCTTTCTTTCTAGGATATCGTTTATCTGGAATTTATATTAAATTTTCTTTAAAAAAATAAGCTATTATAAACTAAAAAGTCTCCTGTCAAGCATGACTGAATACTTACTGGGGCTATCTTTTTAAAAAGTTTAAATTTAATTAAGTAAATTTAAAATTACGCCATTTGCCAAAATATTTAAAAATGCAACTTAATGAGGAAAATTTCCACAAAGTATTCTCGGTCCTTTCGGAAAGAATGGCTTCAAGA